AAACCTTGTGTGAACTATTACTCTTAATTCCCCTTTAGACTTTTTAGTTCCTAACCAAAAAAAAAAAGTCAATGTACTCTACCTCAAAAAATCCTTTTTTTTTTACTTCTTTTTTTTCAATCTTTTCCCAACACAAATTCATAGTAAACTTAATTGTTTTTTCAAATGAAAGTGGAATGAACTAGGGCTGTGCAATTTGGGGAAAATATCTAATAGCGATTTTTTTTTAACAGATATTTCGATTACGATTTGATTTACGATTAAATTTAAACTTCAAAGTGATTTTAATTTTATTCAAGCTTCAGCTTAATAATCTGTAAGCCATGGCAACAATTCTGCGACAGCTCTTAAACTATACTTGTTTTGTTTCGTGTCTGTGATTTGAAACCAAAATATTCCCATATTACCAGTGCTGTTTTTCTTTGAAACTAATTTGTCTGTTACTGCTTCTGAAGAATTCCCAATTGTCAGAACTTTCCTGTTTGTTTTCTTTTTTTATTGTGAGCATAGTTCAGTTGCGCAACTCTGATTGGGCAGAACGAAAGTGTGCACACTCAATTGGCTAGGTAAAAAAGCCAAGGTCAGATCACACAATTTCGACACATTCCTTGACGTGGGGAGTCGTAAATGACAAATGTACATCTTGACACAAGATTCAACCGTTTCTTCCCATATAAAGTGGCATAGTTCATGACAGCCGATACCATTCCTGCGATGCCTCATGACAACATCGCAGAATGTCTAGCATGTTTATTTTCTGAAGCATAGCGGACTGGTTTTGAAGCAATTCATCTCAAATGTTATCGGGCATTCTTGTCTGCATATATTTTTTATATTGCAGCCTCTTGAGATTACTAACTGCAATGTTTCAAATTGCGATTTGATTTCGATTAACCGCACAACCCTAAAAAAACATAAAACAATCAAGTTGTACCCCCCAAAAAAACTCAAGAGTTGTGTTGATTCAGCTCATTTTAAATAAGTAGTTTGAACATGCAGCAAAAATAATATTTTGAGTGTTGAACACTAAATATATTTAGAAAAATATTGAAAACAAATAGCCATTGAGATCAATAATAGTAAAAAAAACACTATGGAAGTCAATGGCTACTAGTTTCTATCTTCTACCATGTTCAACAGAAGAAAGAACACATAAATATAGTTATAAAAAATATAAAATTATGAACAATTGGAGAGCAAGTCAAATTATGACAATTTCTGAGTGAGCTCTCTCTTTCAGGAGGTTGTAAAAAAGCACTAAATATAGCCTGGCTTTATCATCAGGCTGGAGATTGAGCCAAAGAATGGGATGGGACTCCAGAAAATACCCACAAGCACTGCATTCTTTCAGCGTTTGAGTTTGGGGCCAAAGGGCTGTAGGGTTGGGAGGGGTCAGGGTACGCCTGTGAGTTTTAATGGGGGGTGCAAGATGCAGACAAATCAGTGCTCACCCTGTGGTCACGTTACCACCACAAAAATGCGCATTTCCTTTACAAGACATGATTTAAAAGCGTCACTTACAATAAAACTTTAGTGCATATAACCCAATGTTTGACAACCCATCTCAAACTGGGCTGAAGTTTGCACCGCTATAAAAGTTTTATTCCTTTACATTACAGAACAAGTTTTCACTTTCTGACCTTATAAACTCAATATAAATACTGTAGTAACAGGTTATGGGGAGAAATCAAGCTTGATGCCAGAACCGGAGTCTCTAACGTCTACAAGGCTGCTTTCTGCACCTCAAGATTCACTCTGGAATGTTAAATTACGTCATGTATTTGGGATCGGGTTTCCTCTGGCTAAAGGATCCAGTTCACGGGAATGATCCAAAGACCCAGTTGAATGCATTGGGTTTTCATGAATACATTTGAACAGTCTATCATTTTATTGCACAACTGTTTACATTGAAACTGTCATTCTCAAAGGAAACAGGGTATAATAATGTGTCAACAATACTGCAGCATTTCAACACTCCCCTTCTAATCAATAAAGCCGTTTACTTGATAGGAAGTTCTTGCTTTGATCCGGTTCAATAAAAAGTGATTAAAAAAATCCATTTACTGTTATTTTACTCACAGACCATCCAAGATGTAATTTGTTTCCTTCAGTAGAACAAGACTTTTACTTTTTAGCTGAAACCATCATTGGGGATTCATGAGATGCTAATGGCTTTTTGACTATGAAAGAAAAAAAAAGACAATACCACAATATTGAGCTGGTTTTGTAATGAATAGGTATCAAATTCAAGAATTTTCCAAGACGCAGTTTACTGATCACAGATCATTTCCCTTCATAAAGCTTCAATGTATTAGATCAAATTTAGCTTTGACTGTGATGGGCTTATTTTTTCGGACTCGAAAATTGAATAGTGTTAGGGATGCACGATATATCGGTGGCCATATCGATATCGGCCGATAAATGATATTTTTAATGTTATCGTTATTGGTCTGATATTAAAATTAGTCTGATATCTTTAAGCCGATAGACTACATAATTGTATAAAACTGGTGCATGTATGGGTCGAACGTGGGTTTAGACTTGTCCAGTGCATTATAACACACTCATAAACCTTTCATCGATTATTTTTCCTGCAATAGACAGCAAAGCGAACATAAAAGCGTTGTCTGATTAACTAGCAGCTTCACTTTTTCTGACATTATGGTCTAATCCCAATTCTATTTTTGTACCCCTACCCCCTCCCCTTGGCCATTGAAACAGAATGTGAAGGGGAAGGGCTCCAAAATTTACCCCTAAGAAATGGTACACCACTACAACACCAGCACACGTCATCCCTTGACATCACAATCTTTTGCTGCATATGAGATCAGACGATCGTACTATGAAACATCATTAACATTATAGCAGACACTGTAAAAAGCTCATTCCCAGCCACTAGACTTTTCTGACAGGGTATTCGGGTGTCATTGAGTGGCAGAATGTTGTGAGACTACAATACAGAAGTTATTATTAGAGATTATAGATAGCGAAATTTAGCTGGCTTTTATTTTAGCGTTTTTTTTTCTTCTAAATCACGATGATAAAACACGGTTATGAATATATTAAAACACATGCTTGTTTGTTGTAAAAACTTATAATAATGACAAAAACATTCATTTGTGCATCCCCTACTTGCGTGTGCAGCCATTCTACTGTTGTAGATGTTGTACTCTGGGAAATTGTCCTACCCTATGGTTTCGAGTGTGGTCCTGAAAAATCTCTGTTTGAAGTTGTATCTAGCTCTTCCCCTTAGCATCCCTCCTTCAAGCTAAAGATAATTGGGATTGGGTAAGGAGAAGGGCTAAGGGGTAGAATTGGGATTGGGCCTACGTATTTGTATACATGTACATTACTGTAACATGTTTTATTCAAGAACATTTGAGCTGGTTTCAGTTCTTAGTTCTTTCATTTTCATTTTATTTAAAAAAAATTTTATCATCAAGTTATGTTAATTAAATCCAATTTTGTTATTTAACCTATTATTTTTATACAACAATCAAGTTGCATGTTAATTTGATATGCGAAGAAAACGATTTGATTTATTTTCGGTATGCTGATGTATGTGATATCATTAATATACATCTAATCACCTTGCAATTTTGAAATTATTGCTTTTTTTGCTTCAAGTAGGCTATTTAGTTCATGAGATCAGTTTTTAAATAAAATCAGTTGTTTACTGCATAAAAATATAACATTTTGTAATATTTATATTTATCGGTTAATATATCCGTTATCGGACTCCAAATCTTAAGGGTTATCGGTAGGGCCAGAGAGAATCTGCTGATATTTTTTGCTATTTCTGTGCAGAATTTTGTAATTAATCTGTGGAATTATGCAGAATGATTTTGGGAGTTTCGTAACTAAAAAATATATTCAAAAACTAAATAAACATAAATGTACACATGCCGATTCTGTGCGGCCCTAGTTATCGGTTACCGATATCAGCCAAAAAAATCCATATTGTGCATCCCTAACTAGTATTTAATGAATAAGCATAGTTTTAACTAAAAAATATGTTGTAGAAATGAAAATAAGTTTTATAAAATGGCCTGAAAGCGAGCTTATAAACAGCAAAGTTATTATTGTGTAAAACTACCCATATAAAACTGTTCATTCAAAGCAGTTGAATGAATTATAGAAAGGATTAAACTCCAAGAACGCTTATCCACAATGCAAGTTGGCATAGTTTCTCGCTTAAGAATGGTATGCAAACAGCTTTGATGATGATGATGATTACAGTAACAATGTAAACGGAACTGAATTTTATTTGTACAATAAACAACGTCACACCTTTTGCAGTGATGTAACAGCGCAGACATTGCGAAATTAAATTATTCGCGTGACGCTTTAAAAGCAAACAACTTCTTGGAATTGACGTGTCACTTTCCATCAGTCTTTGGCATCTTAACAAAACGTCTGAGCCTCGTATAAAATGTTTCACAATTACATGAATTTGAACGCAGAGTGATTATATTATACAAACAGACCCTGTTACAAAAAAAAAAGTTTCGTAATGAATAGGCTATCGAATTCCAGAAGTTTCCAGGAAAGATGCAGCAAAAGCCCTCTCTATTAACTCTTATTAAAAATAGGCTACTTTTTAATAAAAATGTATTTGTTTCTGATTACAAATGGTTTTATCACCTAGCAAAAGAACACATGATGTAGCTTGCCTATACATCAAATGTTGTTTCCTTGCAAAAGAACACAAGATGCTACATATTTGCAACTGCAGCAGTGCTTGTTAAAAGTACATCTGTCATAGAAAACACATGTAAATATGAAGCAGTCAGCTCAAGATACAATTTTAAGGTTTAAAACTCAAAGTTTCGTATAGGTTTCGTTTCGTTTCCATTGGGTTCAGGACTTCCCTTTCCCATCAGAGGCTCAACCGGCTCGAGACTTTTCTGCAACTTGAAACTTTGAGAAACAGTTTCTCTAAGCGCTTTGTAAAAATACCTTAAAGTCTTAATACATTTAAAGAAAACACGCCAACTTACCTCAGATTTAGTAAATCTTGCGTGGTAACACTTTAGTCCCGAAATAGAAAGCGTGTCATTCCGTTGCTGCGAAATCCACGGTGGACCAGAGAGGAGCAGTGTGGAATTCCGCCATGTCAATTATGTGGAAGCGCACATGGGGGTGTAGAAGCTTACCGTAAAACACCTAATACACTCCCGGAGCTTTCCTAGCAGACCACTCAATCTTGTTGGGATAGACAACTCGACAAGAATATTTCTACACTTTTTATTTTATTTTTGTAGATTCAATAAAAAAATATAGGCTCATGATTTAAAAACTTTTATCTTAACTATATAACTACACATATGAAAAAATACTGAAGTAGTTAATGTTAAATATTATAGTATTTTGTACTGGGTTGCAGCTGGTAGTGCATCCGCTGCGTAAAACATATGCTAGATAGATCATCAAGGTTATCTATCTATCTATCTATCTATCTATCTATCTATCTATCTATCTATCTATCTATCTATCTATCTATCTATCTATCTATCTATATCTATCTATCTATCTATCTATCTATCTATCTATCTATCTATCTATCTATCTATCTATCTATCTATCATTATCCATCCATCCATCCATCTATCTATCCATCTGTCTATCTATCTATCTATCTATCTATCTATCTATCTATCTATCTATCTATCTATCTATCTATCTATCTATCTATCTATCTATCTATCTATCTATCTATCTATCTATTATCCATCCATCCATCCATCTATCTATCCATCTGTCTATCAAATTACAAGCATGCAACCCATGCAAAAATTCATTACTGGTCTAAAATCATGTGCTCCCCCCCACAAACATATTAAGTTCCTTTTTTGTGTTCCACATCCTTAAACAGGATGCACAAGAAGATTTCACACTTCCATTATGTCCCATGACTAAATGCAAATCTATTAATATTGTATTATACATGTGAATGGCATTGCAAACTAATCATAGCCAAATTGAAAAAGGTTTTGAAAGACTTGCCTAATTTGTGAGCAAAAATGATTCTTAAATCTTTTGGTTTTGCTTAAATGCTGTTTAATTAATTACTTTAAAAAGTTTTATACAGAAGTAGAATCTGTTGCTAAAGAGTGGCAATTTCATAAAGCTAGGCTAACAGCGCCACTTTGTGGTAATTTGCAGCAATTGCAGCTCATATTTAAAATACATATAAAGGGATCAAACAATGTAAGAGTGCTTTATCAAACCAGGATATTAACAACCACTTCAGAAGGAGCATCAGCACGACGACTAATATTACACACATCTTTATAACTGCAATCATAATAGTAGTAATAGCGGTTGTGGTAAACGCAGTAAAATACTATAAATCCTGCTGATTTCATAGTGGAACTAACAGATGTCTGATATACAGTACATTCCAAAGTGACGTATGTAAACAACTGTAAACAAATGTTACATGACAGAACATTTCAAAATAAAAGTCAGTCTAACTGCAGAAAACAAAACCGAAAACATAAAATCCTTTTTAGACGTCATTTACTTAAAATTCTAAATAATAAATATTAAATTGATTCAAAATCAACAAATAATATCAAGTGCGTTTAAAAAACGAAGCTTCGGTGTTCTCACACTGGAGGACTTTTAATGTAAATTTCGCTGTGATTTCAAAACCACTGCTCCAGGGTTCAGATGAGGTATTACAACATCATCCAGTCAGTCACTATGTCAACTCTGAGACCGGTGTAATTCTATGAGTTTCTAAACCATCACTATGATGCGGTCCATTCTGATCGTGGCGATTTTACTATCCATAGCAGCTGCTTATTATATTTATCTGCCTCTTCCCAGCACTATATCAGAGCCATGGAAACTCATGTTTATGGATGCAATATTGCGTGGTGTAATGCATGTGGTAAGACTTTCCTTATATATGTTACATACATTTTACATTAAGACATACTTCAAGTCAATGTGGATATATTATTTAAATAAAAGAGGGGTATAGCTGTGATATAATAGATATGATACTCTTACAGAAATAATGATTTGTTGTACATTTTGTGTCACAGAAATTCAATCTTGATACTTTTTTGTTCATAGACAAATTATTATATGTATGTGTGTATATATATATATATATATATATATATATATATATATATATATATATATATATATATATATATATATATATACTATGTTTATTGAAAATGGTAGATTTTCTGTGATTCAAGTTTAATTTGAATTGTTGACCTCTTATGAGACCTGACAAAATTATCCAACATTTTATGTTTAAAAATGAACTAATGAAATATTTTAAATATATTTTATGACAATATCTTTAGTAACAAATAAAAAAACACTCAAATTTAGTTAAAAAAATTATTTACCATATTTTTTATTTTAAATAATTGAATTATCATTTAAATAAAAAAGGAATATATATATATATATATATATATATATATATATATATATATATATATATATATATATATATTGTTTACAGTTATTATAAAATATCTAATAAAATACAATCTTAACAATGATTTTTAAATAAAAGTGTACTATTTGTCTTCTCACCATATTCAATTTTACTATAAGAAACTAAAAATTTTAAATCAGAGATTACATCTAAAATGCAACAATAAAAAATGTAAATTAAATGTAACATATTTGTTTAAAAATAAGAAAATAACATTTTTTATTTGTCTTTTTACCATATTATACCACATTGTTACGGCATTTACCAAATGTAATATAATAATATAATATAATATAATATAATATAATATAATATTGACAACTTTTTTGAATTGTTGACAACTTAAATAAAGTTAAAATATACATTATTTCATCATGTAATGCTAAAAACATTACTAATTCAAACTGTCATGATCTCATTTAACCCTTCCCCATGATGACCCTTCAGAACTAAGGGAATTTTCACAATCTTAAAGGGATTTGCTGACTCTTAAAGTGTGTTTATCAATCCCTCTTTAATTATTATTTCTCATAGAGCTTTTTCGCTCACAATCTTGGCCTGAGTCAACCTTTCGATGTTGCAAAGTACGCTGCGTCATGGGATGAAATAAAGGCTCCACAGTCCAGCCAAACCATCCGGGTCACAGAAACATATTTTGAAGGAGTTCAGGCGCAAGTGTTTGAATCCACACAAGCAGACCAGGAGCCATATTTAAAAAGAGGAATCATCTATTTTCATGGAGGCGGATGGACATTAGGCAGTGGAAGTATGTAAATATTCATATAAATAATGTTTAGTTTGAACATACTGGATTTTTTGCAATATATTTCCTTTTTTATCATTCCTAAGAGATGCAGACTTATTACCTTCAGTGCTGGTCTATGGCTGAACAGCTGGATGCTGTTGTAATATCAATTGAGTAAGTACAGTATGTTGACTAATGTATTATTTTACTTAATAGACTTAATTGCATTCATTATGAGTCGTCATTTGTGTAATTTGTGTGTTCAGGTACAGGCTGACGCCGGAGGCACGTTTCCCAGATCAGTACAATGAAGCCGTTCAGGCCTCAAAACACATATTGACGGCTGAGATTTTGAGGCGGTATTTTATAGACCCAAAACGAGTGGCTGTGTCAGGTGACAGCGCCGGAGCCAATCTGGCTGCCGCTGTGGCGCAACAGGTAAATCTTTAAAAAAAATGTCACAACCTGGAACATATTTGATGAATAAAATCTAATGCTTACAGTAGTTCTTAGAAATAAATGGAGTTGTAACGTCTTGTATTATTAATGATGCCTCTTTTTACAAGATGTAAAATAAGCATTTGATAACAACCAAAGAAATACAATGGCAAAAAGATGGCAGCCTAAATATGCCTGCATTTTTTCACAGACTTCAACTGTGTAAAAATCTTGATGGTCCTGTGGGTTTTGTCTATCCAAACTGATGTTTATTCTGTATTTTCTATTGGATTCAGATCAGGTGATTGGCTAGGCCATTCTACAGCTTAATTTTTATCCTCAGAAAGCACTTTAAAGTTTCCTTGGCTTTGTTTGGGATTATTGTTTGGCTGAAATGTCCACTCTAATTTCATCTTCATCATCCTGCTAATGTAGATGTTGGACTGAAGCAGCTAATATTCATTTACAATGAGGAGGGGCAGAGGGTTGCTGAAAAACTACTGAGAGATTTCAACTGCTGTCTGGGCTTTCACTGCTTTTTCACCTCCCTTTCTTCATGTGTTCAATACTTCTTTCCCATGCTATTTCATTTTTTTAACGCGTAACTTAATGTAAACTAATTTAATTTGTTTTCTTTTTATATATGTCTTTATTTGGTTGTTTCCATCATCCAGTGAACATTTCTTGTCAATGCCACCTTTAGAAATGTTTTCTGAAAAAAATGGTGATGTGTTCAATACCCAACTGTATATAGTACTTCTTCTTGTAAATGATGTACGAATATTATTTTGTAAAAAAAAAAAAAAAATTCTCATAATCTTAAATTAAATTCCATAACCTTCCCTACCCCCTGGAAATGCTCAAAAGGAAGTGGTTCATACAAATATGATATGAATCCGTCTGTAACATTTAATCATCATTGGCCATCTGAATACATTCTGAGGGTGATCCCGACGGACAGTCATCCACCAAAACTGAGTGCAAACTGGCATTCAAATCTTCCTTGTTTTGTTAGCAACACCCATCTTTAACAAACAAATCAGTTCCCAAAGGATGAAATCATGCACCGGCCAACATTTTACAGAAACTCAAGCGAATATACGTCATGATCTGGGAAAAACAGACGGATCATTTAGTCTTCAACTGTTAACCTCAACGTAAGAAATGTTGACACTTTTTTAACTCCAAGTAACAGCCTAACATTTATTTTTTCAAGTTGCAGGGATGCTTTCATTATTGGCAAAAAGGGGAATTAATAATCTAGTTTTTTGTCTATTTTCTCACAGATGGCTTTGGATCACAGTGCTTCTATTAAGTTCAAAGTCCAAGCTCTTCTGTACCCTGTGCTTCAGGCTCTAGACTTCAACACCCCGTCATACCAGCAGAACGGCAACATTCCCATCCTGCACCGTCCTCTCATGGCCCGCTTTTGGCTGGAGTATCTAAACGGGGATCCAAGACTTGTTATGTCTTTACTGGCAAACAACCACACAGTTCAGAGCCAGGAGACAGAAGCAGCCAGGGCTAAGATCGACTGGACACGGCTTCTTCCGGTGGCCTTTCAGAAGAGCTATAAACCTGTGTTTCCTCTCGACGGGGACCCGAAGCTCCTGGAGATGCTGCCAGGCCTGCTGGATGTGAGAGCGGCTCCTTTACTGGCCGAAAGTGAAGTGCTGAAGGCCGTTCCTCCTGCTTATATTATGACCTGCGAACATGACGTGCTGAGAGATGATGGGCTGATGTACGCCACACGACTGCAGCAAGCCGGAGTTCCAGTCACCCTCGACCACTATGAAGACGGCTTTCACGGCTGCCTCAGTTTCGCTTTCGGACCCTTTCGCTTTTCCGTGGGCTTTAAAAGCTTTAGGAACTATATCAGGTGGATGGAGGAGAACCTCTAATGAAGTATGTTTTGGTTTTACAATTTAACAATTGGATTTTTAGAATTAAAATGCATCGCTGCATGCCAATGCCATAGATTATGAATGGGGGGAAACGTGCATCAATCAGTGCCAAAGCTGCTGAAACACTGCTTTCAGGACAATGGTTGTATTGTTTTAGGAGTGGTGGAGTTAAGCTACTTTGTGTTATATGAATAATGCAAGATGATCCAGATTATACAAAGAGGCTTCTTGCATTTCCAGGAAAGTGACTCCTCGTCTCTATTCTTAGAGAATTCCTATTTGGATATCTGAAGTATTGTTGAAATTATTCAGATGATTAGTAATCCTGCTGCTAATGATGATAAAATATGTCAAAATAATATACATTTAAAAAAGTATTAAAGTGAGCGATTAAATTTAAATCCCTTTTTAATGTGCAAGATTATATCACAGCTTTATCTCAAAATCTATGAACAGCTTATATTATGAGCAGATTATGTTTTTACTTTATATGAACTCGATTTTTCATTAAATAAAGTCAGAATTGCAAGACTATAAACCTGAAATGATGAGAACTAATATAATTTGAAAGAAAAATTTAGAATTTCAAAAAAGCTTGAATTGCGAGAAAGCTTTTACACTTTCTATTGCGAGGAGTAAAACATGCAAATGTATTTTTCTTCAATTTAGTGCCTTATTTATCTGGGGTCGCCACAGCGGAATGAACCACCAACTATCCCAGCATGTGTTTTAAACAACGGATACCCTTCCAGCTGCAACCCAGTACAGGGAAACACCTATACACTCTCTTTCACACACATTCATACACTAAAGCAAATTTTGTTTTTGGAAGAAACCCATGCCAAACACAGGGCGCAAAGCCACCAAAAACCTTCTTGCTGTGAGGTGAAAGTGCTAACCACTGAGCCACCGTGCCACCCATGCAAGTTAAAATCTACATAAAAGTTTATATCTACAACTTTTTTTTTTTTTTTACAAATAAATATTTAAATGGACTTCACTGATGTATCAGCAATCAATATATACTCACCGGTCACTTTATTAGGTACACTTGTCCACAAAAATCTCTAGGATTTACAGAGAATGGCTTGAAAAAGAGAAAATATCCAGTGAGCAGCAGTTCCGTGGGGGCAAATGCGTTGTTGATGCCAAAGGTCAAAGTAGAATGCCCAGACTGGTTCCAGCTGATAGAAAGGCAACAGTAACTCAAATAACCACTTGTTACAAGCGAGGTATGCAGAAGAGCATCTCTGAACACGTTGAACCTTGGTGGTAGTGGTGTAATGGTGTGGTCTCAGACTGGTTTCTTAAACATCACTTTGAACTCACTCTACTCAAATAGCCTAGTCACCAGATCTCAATCCAATAGAGCACCTTTGGGATGTGATGGAACAGAAGATTCGCCTCATGGATGTGCAGCCGACAAATCTGCTGCAACTATGTGATGCTATCATGTCAGTTTGGACCAAAACTTCTGAGGAATATTTTCAGTTCCTTGTTAAATCGACGCCACGAAGGATTAATGCAGCTCGGAAGGCAAAAGGGGGCCCAACCTGGTACTACTAGTTAAGTGTACCTAATAAAGTGGCCGGTGAGTGTATATTGGCTGATATCTTTTGATCAATTTAAAGCCATCCATGCATCAAAATAAAATGAAATGAAAAAACAGCATGAAAAAAGGCTGATATTAAAAAAATAATAATTACATAACAGTTTTATTGTTGCATAATCAAACTTTTTTCTTCCTGGGATTAAAAATGTCCCAACATGAAATGAAATCTGAACAAAATATAGTTTAATGGACTCAATCCATGTAAATGATGCAGCAATAAACTAATAGACCTTAGCATAACAATTTCTGAGCCCATTTAAAAAGTTTTCAGAAGTTTTTGTTTTTCAGATGTTCTGTGAGCAGATGGTGAGGGGAGGACAAGATGGTTCATGTCTGTCACACACAGACATGCAGCGTTGTACATTTTTACTCTCTCACTCTCTCTCTCACACACACACACAAACACACACACACACACAAGCATGCAATTGTGCTGTGTCCTAGTTTTGCGCAGCTGCATCAAGGCGTGTGATGATGCACAGATGTACATTTTCATACCTCCAGGACTGAGTAACACATTCTGAATGCAAGAATTGATTCCTTTGTGGAAAAACCCCTGCTATCTGCGTATTTCAGATGAGAATCTGTGCAATAGAAGAAAATCAGTGAAGTGGTTAAATTCTTAAGTGTACTTTTTAATTCAAGATTCTAGCATATTATATTATATTAACTCATGTTAAAAGTGTGGTTTACTATCAAAATCTAAAGTTTTGTCAGTCTTTTTTTCCAGGTTCCACTTCCTGTTTGGGATCGTTTACAGCCAGGTTAATTCATAATTCTATCAAATTCCACAGAGCCATCATTATATGATGCACAATTGTGTGTTAAATGTAATATTTATTGTTATGTGTTGTATATTGCGTGATAATTCAAGATCATTAATGTGAGTAAAGTGAAGAGACAAATCATATCTCTCGTCTTCTACTTGCTATCTTTCTTTTGGAAGTGAATATATATAAATATATATATATATATATATATATATGTGTGTGTGTGTATACACACACACACACACACATATACAGTTGAAGTTAGAATTATTAGCCCCCTGAATTATTAGGCCCTGTTTTTTTTCTCCTTAATTTCTGTTTAACGGAGAGCAGATTTTTTCAACACATTTCTAAATATAATAGTTTTAATAAATCATTCCTAATAACTGATTTGTTTTATCTTCACCATGATGACAGTAAATAATTTTTGACTAGATATTTTTCAAGACAATTCTATACAGCCTAAAGTAACATTTAAAGGCTAAACTATGTTAATAGCAGTAATAAGGCAAGTTATTGTATAATGATGGCTTGTACTGTTGACTATCGAAAAAATATATAGCTTAAAGGGGCTAATAATTTGACCTTAAAATGACTTTCAAAAAATAAAAAAATGCTTTTATTGTAGCCAAAATAAAACAAATAAGACTTTCTCCAGAAAAAAATGTTATCAGACATACTGTGAAAAATTCCTTGCTCTGTTAAACATTATTTGGCAAATATTTAAAAAGGAAAAATAAAAAATGTAAATGGGGGCTAATAGTTCTGACTTCAACAAAGATAATAACGAATAACTAAAATTAAATAACAACATAAGATAAGAAGACATAGAAGACATTCACAAAAGCCAAATACAGATGAACTTTCCATAGATATAACTACATATTTCACAGCTTTAAGAGACTTCATTAACAGAATAAGTTAGTTAGGGTGACGCGGTGGCACAATAGGTAGTGCTGTCGCCTCACAGCTACAAGGTCACTGGTTCAAGCCTCAGCTGGGTCAGCTGGCAATTCTGTGTGTAGTTTGCATGGTCTCCCTGTGTTCACATGGGTTTCCTCCGGGTGCTCTGGTCTCCCCCACAGTCCAAACACATGCGCTATAGGTGAATTGGGTAAGCTAAACTATCCAAAGTGTATGAGTGTGTGTGGATGTTTTCTAGTGATAGGTTGCAGCTGGAAGGGCATCCACTGCATAAAAACATATGCTGGCGGTTCATTTCGCTGTGGCGACCCTAGATTAATAAAGGCACTTAGGTAAAACAATGAATGAATGAATGAATGAATGAATGAATAAGTTAGTTAACAAAATCTGTATAGGCTATAGGAGTTCGGGGGTATGTGGTATTTTGAAAGTCTGCATTTTGTATAAAGAATCTACTATTCAAAATGATGAAATTTACAAGGTTGTTAATATTTTTATCATTTTTTTCAAAATAGCAAATAATTTATATTTGCATTCAATGTAACCAACATTAATTTCAACAGAATACTCGACTAAGTAGAAAAAACATCTATCAAATATAAAAATCTGACATGGATGTGACGGTACTTCAGCAACTGACAGAACAAGGCAATTATTTCAAAATAAAAGTCTTTGTGTTTCAGTTCCAGTAGATCAGGGAGTTTTCAGTTATGCACCAACTTACAAATGTGATCAGTATCGTGAGAGGGACATTTATCTTAAAATATGAAAGAAATTTATACCATTTATTGTGTTAAAAACACAATTATATGGTATAGTTATGGTATAAATGAATCTTGTTAATGTTTTTGAATCGATTTAATTTCTATTTAGCTACATTGCACATTTTCTACTCAGTACAGTATTTTACACAGTTAATTGGTTATTTAATTATCTGTATCTCTTTTTAAAATCTAAATTTGGATAATTTATTTAAATCTATTCACGCCCACCCCCATTTTAATAGTCTTCACTCACAAGATTAACTGAGCTAAAAAATATAAAGTAGAATAAAAACATTAACAGATAAAGTTATTTTAAAAAATCCCAAACACAATAAGTAACCTAAACTCAACAAGAGGACTTTTTATGTAAAATCTTTCACATAACCTCTATCTATTTTGTGCAATCAGGTGAAGTGTCATATGCACCCACTATATGAGCACTGTCATTTGTGCTAAAGTTCATTTTAATGCTCTTTTAGCATAACCAACAATGCGTCCCATTTTAATCGCGACGATTTTACTGTCGATTGCAGCGGCTTATTATATTTATATACCTCTTCCTACCACTATAACGGAGCCATGGAAACTCATGTACACAGATGCAATGATACGATCGTCTATGCAGTTGGTAAGCCTATAAACGCTATTAGCCAATACAACTGTAACGATGAGTTAGATAATGATAATGCTGTCTGTTTATTTCCTCTCAGAGTTTTTTGGCACACGACTTCGGGCTGACTTCACCTTTTGGCTTTTTGAAATATTTCTCGTCTCTTATGGATGTAAAAAGTAACCTGTCCTGTTCAAACGTCCGGATCACAGAAGCTTCTTTTGGAGGAGTGGAAGCGCTGGTGTTTGAGTCCACTGCACAGGAGAAGAGTCTGAAAAGAGGCGTGGTTTATTTACATGGAGGAGGATGGACAGTCGGAAGTGCAAGTAGGATATAGTTTATAATTTTAGATTGACGTGTTTATTATTTAATGTAATGTAAAGCAGTGCTTTTTAGAATACAACTGAAGTTGTAAATATGAAAGATTTGCTCAGTAGAGCAGACGAGTTGTCTCGCTCCATCTAGTGGTTGAGAAAGGAAACGCTTCTTATATGTTCAAACGTTTCATGTCACTGTTATTATTCTTTCTTTAAAGAAATGGAGGCGTATTATCTTCAGTGCATGGAGATGGCTAAACAGCTAGATGCAGTCGTGCTGTCTGTTGAGTAAGTCATTTTGTAAAATTTGCGTTATAAAATTCCATAAACAATCGTCATGAATGAAAATATACAGCCACAATCAGCAGATCAATATAAGAGAGATACAAGAGAGGGAAATACAAGTGACAATAACTGTAGAAAAAAAGACCAACAAAACAAAGGAGTATGTCCATTACAATTGTATAAAAAGGTATAGAAATAAATAAATCAAGAGTCAATAGACAACATTTCTTCATATAGTACCAAAAACCTAAGACATTTTTTGTTGTTACATATCAGATTTGAGCATTGAGTTAACTTCAATCAGAAAATGTCAAAAAGTAGAGATTGAAGCTGTGCATTTGTATGTATAAAAAAATCAGAAGACTGTTTTCTGTTTTTCTGGAGTCATGGGTCACGTCAGTATCTCATCCCAATTAATTTTGGATTATTTGTTAAAATAACAAATCGTATCATTTTAAAATATAAAGAAATTGTAAACATAAAGAGTTTTTCAAGTGTAGTATTTCTGTTAATGGACAAGCAAACTGAGATTTTAGTAGAATGTAGAAGTCAATCCTAAAAATTCCTTTAAAAACATGACGCCTATTTCAGCCATGCTAAAGAAATAAAATATAATACACAGTATTTCAAGGACTAAAAAAGTAATATATATATTTCACAATTCTAAGTCTACATCTTACAATCAGAATAATGAAGGTTTATAGAGGGACATTCTAAAATGGTAATAGCTGTTCATTCGGGAAACTGACCAAACCATGAAGTAGGACCTAAATGTTTTGTTTTTCTGGAGTCATGGGTCACGTTAGTATCTTATCCAAACTTATTTTGGATTATATGTTAAAATAACAAATGGTTTCCTTTTAAAATATAAAGAAATTGTAAACATAAAGTGTATTTTAAGTAAAATATTTCTGTTAAGAAGTAAATCCTGAAAATTCCTTTGAAAACCTCTCTCTTTGGGGAAAAGTAAACACGTTGCATATTTAAGCCATGATTAAAAAAAATACATAAAATATAATACAGTGTATTTCAAGGACTAAAAGAGTAATATATATATTTCACAATTCCAAGTCTACATCTTACAATCAGAATAATGAAGGTTTATTAAGGGACATTCTAAAACGCTTAACATAAAAAAAGCTTAATGTGGCTTAATGTACCTAAACATCAACCAGAGAAACCCAAATTTCTGTCAAACTTTTTTCTGTAATTAACCCCAACTACTGTAAAAAGATTGAGTCCCAAGTGATAAATTGAAAAACATCACGTTAAGCGTTTTCTCCCCCATTGAAGTCCATTATAAGGAAAAAACATAACTTGGCTTAAAATACATTAACAACAAGCAGGGAAAATCAAATTTAAAAGCACTAACTACTAGCAAAAGAATGAGCCCTTTCCACAGCTAAAGTGAACAATATTGTGTTAAGCGTTTTCTCCTGTTGTTGTGGGGATGTCAATGACATGCTCATTTTGACAGCAAGGGTTAATCTATTACAAGTAAAATGAGATTTTATGAACAGCCTTTTTAATATTTGGTTTTCCTCAGTTGTTGTAAAGTTACATTAAGCCTTTCCTTATTATGGACTTCTATGGGGGAGAAAACACTCAACGTCAATTTTTTCACTTTATGGAATTGGTACTTGTTCTTTTTTACAGTTGTTAGGGTTAATTACTATAAAAGTTTGACAGAAATTAGTTTTTTTTTCTGGTTGATGTTTAGGTACGTTAAGCGACGTTACGCTTTTTTCACATTAAGCGTTTTAGAATGTCCCTTTATAGAGTGTTATCATGATGAATCATCAGTCGGCCATATTGGAGAGCAGAACGTAAATGTCACTGACCGAACAAATAATTACACAGTTTGCTGATTAAAGTTGATTAAATTATTGATCATTATCATGTTTTGGCCTGTATTAATCAGTCAGAAAAAACACATTTTAATTACTTAAGACTGCCAAAAGTTAAAACAAATCAAGCAGAAAAGAGCCTATTTAATTAAGTTCATGTCAAAATATTACACCAATTTCCGTCTTACAGAGTCCTTCGCTAAAGGATTTAATGGCTTACACACATTTTTCTGTGGTGGCATAAATATCCAAAACAACATATTCAGTAGTAAAAAAAACATCTAGCCTATATGCTGTTGTTAACATCCCGAGTATCTAAATATTAATTCGGGTAACTGACCAAACCATGACCTAGGACCTAAATGTTTTGTTTTTCTGGAGGCATGGGTTATGTCAGTATCTCATTCAAACTTGTTTTGGATTATTTGTTAAAATAACAAATCGTTTCAGTTTAAAATATAAACAAATTAGACACATAAAGAGCTTTTCAAGTGTAATACTTCTGTTAAAGTACAGTCAATGAGATTTCTGTAGAATGTAGAATTAAATCCTGAAAATTCCCTTGAAAACCTTCTCTCTCTTTGAGGAAAGAAAATAAAGAAGCCTATTTCATGATAAAAAAATGTAATACACAGTATTTCAAGCACTAAAAAGTTAATAAATATATTTAAAAGCCTTCATCTTGCAATCAAAATAATGAATATATTAGCTGAAAGTTTATAGATGCTTTATCGTGACACATCATCAGTCGGCCATATTGGAGAGCAGAGCATAGTACCTAACAAATAAATACATAATTTGCTGATTAATGTTGATGAAAATAATCAATAATAGTCTTGTTTTTGGTCTGTATTAATCAGTCAGAAAACCAACAACATTAAGACTACTTAAGTCTGCCAAAGGTTAAAACAATTCAAGCAGAGTAGAGCCTAATAATTTAAGTTTGTCAAAATATTACACCAATTTCCCTCTTACTGAGTCTTTCTTTAAATGATTTAACGGCTTACACACACTTTTCTGTGGTTTAGGTAGCATAAACAACCAGAACAACATATTTAGTAGTAAAAAATCATGTAGCCCATGCTGTTGTTGACATCTTGAGTATCTCAATAATGGCCGTATATACGTTAACTGACCAAACCATGACATTGGTCCTAAGTGAAAACACTCTGTTGACTTTCTTACAATTTTGATTTCATCTATTACAATTCTAAGATTACATCTTGCAGTTATAATTTATATCATCGGTAACACTTTACAATAATGTTCATTAGTTAATGCATTTACTAACAAGAACTAATCATGAACAACACATGTACAGCATTTATTAATCATAATTGAACATTTACTAATGCATTATTAACATCCAAGTCCATGCTTGTTGACATTAGTTAATGCACCATGAGTTAACATGAACTAACAATGAACTACTGTATTTACATTAAGTAACGTTAACTAACATGTACAAATACCTTAATAAATGTATTTTTCATTGTTTGTTCATGTTAGAAAATGCATTAATTAACATTAACTGATGAACCTTATTGTAAAGTGTGACCATATCATCTGCTTAAATTGCCAGATTATGTGTTTTGTTTTAATATGTTCAGGTACAGACTTGCCCCGGATGGACGTTTCCCAGATCAGTATAATGATGTTTTTCAGGCCGCAAAACACATCCTGACAGCCGAGGTGTTGAGTCGCTACTCTATAGACCCCAAACGTGTGGCAGTGTCAGGTGACAGCGCTGGTGGAAACCTTGCCGCTGCTGTGGCGCAACAGGTGTGAGAAATATCAGCATCAAATTGCAAATAAATATCAACTTTAATATATGATTACCAGAATATTTCGCTCAAAAATGAACATTTGTTTTCAGACAATACTAGATATAGTATGTCAGGTGAACATGGCCCAATCCCAATTGCACAAGGGGAAGGTGGAGGGGTAGGCTTATGGGTAGGGGTATCACATAGAATTGCTATTGTGACTTTGAGAGTCAAAAAAAATATATATAGGCAAAACAGATTTAACAAATATGACTCTTAACAATACATTGAGCATTACGCAGTCTCAGCTCCACGCCTAAGCTCTTACCCCTACCACTCAGTTTGCACAATTAACTTGAAGGGGTAGGGTGTCTCAATTCTTTGGGAAATATTTCTATCCCAGCCCCTTTACACTCTCTTTTAAGGGTGAAAAGGATGGCAGAGGGGTAGGCTTATGGGTAGGGGTATAAAATGGACTTGCTATTTGGACTTTGAGAGCCAAAAACATGTATAGGCAAAACAGATTTAACATATATGGCTTTTGAGAATACATTGAGCATGGCACAGTCTCAATTCCACACCTAAGCCCTCACCCCTACCGCTTAGTTTGCACAATTTAACTTAAGGGGTAGGGGTGTCCCATTTATTTTGGAAATATTTATATCCCTACGCCTTTACACTCTATTTTAAGGGTGAAGGGGATGGCAGAGGGGTAGGCGTTTAAATAGAATTGTATTGGGACTTTGAGAGCCACAAAAATATATACAAGCAAAACAAAATTAACATTTATGACTCTCGACAATACATTGAGCATGGCCCAATCCCAATTCCACACCTTAGCTCTTACCCCTATACTTGAGTTTGCACAATTAACTTGAAGGGGTAGGATGCTTCAATTCTTTGGAAAATCTTTATATCCCTACCCCTTTACACTTTATTTTAAGGGTGACGGGGATGGTGGAGGGGTAGGCTTAGGGGTAGGGGCATAAAATAGAAATGGTATTGGGACTTTGAGAGCCTAAAACATATATAGGCAAAACAGATTTAACATATATGACTCTTGACAATACACTGAGCATGACCCAGTCTCAATTCCACACCTAAGCCCTTACCCCTACCACTTAGTTTGCACAATTTACTTCAAGAGGTAAAACTAGGCAAAACAGATTTAACATACAGTATATGCCAAATACATATGAAACAATCAGTCTGTGCAAGAAACTTTACAACATTATTACCTCAAAAGTTCTTGTTGGCATATTTGAGAATTCATTTATTTGTCTTTTTGCTCACAGATGGCTGTGGACAGCAGCGTCCCTATTAAATTCAAACTTCAGGCTCTGATTTACCCTGTGCTTCAGGGTCTAGACTTCAACACACCGTCATACCAGCAGAACGCCTTCACACCTATTCTATATAGACCCCTCATGGCCCGCTTTTGGCTGGAGTACCTAAACGGTGAACAGATTCTTCTTCCCACTATGCTAGCAAACATCCAATCAGCTCAGGATCAAGGCCCAAAGATAGAAGCTGCCAGGGCTAAGATCGACTGGACTCTGCTTCTTCCGGTAGCCTTTCAGAAGAGCTATAAACCTGTGTCTCCTCTTCACGGAGACCCGAAGCTGCTGGAGAAGCTGCCAGGCCTGCTGGACGTGAGAGCGGCTCCTTTACTGGCCGAAAGTGAAGTGCTGAAGGCCGTTCCTCCTGCTTATATTATGACCTGCGAACATGACGTGCTGAGAGATGATGGGCTGATGTACGCCACACGACTGCAGCAAGCCGGAGTTCACGTCTATCTCGACCACTATGAAGATGGTTTTCATGGCTGCCTCAGTTTTGGTTTCGGACCCTTAAGTTTTGAGGTCGGAAGGCGAAGCTTTGGGAACTACATTCAATGGCTGAAGGACAACCTCTGAATTTGATTCAGAGTAAATGTCTTTGCGAAAACAGTTGAAGTCAAAATTATTAGCCCAAATGATGTTTAACAGAGCAAGAAATTTTTCACAGTATTTGCGATAATATTTTTTCTTCTCAAGAAAGTCTTTTTTGTTTTATTTTGGGTATAAAATGAAAGCATTTTAAGGTCAATGTTTTTAAGCATTCTTAATTCTACAGAACAAACCATTATTACTGACTTGCCTAATTACTTTAACTAGATGTATTAACCTAGTTAAGCCTTTAAATGTCACTTTAAGATGAAGTAGTATGTTGAAGAAAAATATCAAGTAAAATATTATGTACTGTCATCATGGCAAAGATAAAAGAAATCAGTTATTAGAAATGAGTTAATAAAATTATTATCTTTAAAAATGTTGAAAAATCTTTCCGTTACACAGATATTGGGGGAAAATAAACAGGGGGCTAACAATTCTGATATCAACTGTATTTGTAAAATATATTTTAATATAGATTTTTATATGAAAAACTGAAATGCTGGTGTATTGATGAATGAGTTGTTTTGTTATATTTAATAAAAGGGATTTATTATAAAGGTTCGTTTTGTTTGAAGTTAAAACAATCTGTGCAAAGCTAATGAATTTTTAAACATGTACAAAATTATGTGCATGTTAAATAAATAAATAAATATATATATATATATATATATATATATATATATATATATATATATATATATATATATATATATATATATATATGTTATATATAATATTTTGACATATAATAGATTTACAAACAAATAAATTATTCTATTTTGCTTTTGGCACCTATCATGAATGCAAATTTAAAGACTAAGTTAAAATAATAAACTAATGCTGTAAATTCAAATTAAAAATCTAAATTTTAAAATCAAACATAGTTGAAACTCATTTGCAAATTCAATAAGTGGCTTATTATTAATTTTGATAGAAAAACATGATAATGATTCATAAGTAAAGTAAAAAAAACTTTAACATCTTTAGTGTTTACCTATGTAGAAATACTACACATAACGTATTTGTTTCATTCTTTAAATGACTTACAGTTTTTCTCATTTGGTTTGGCTCATTTATTGAAACAGGAATTACAATCTCAACACTCTAAGATTGTTTTGCAAAACATTTTTACAGTTCAGCACAACATTATAGCTCACTTGCAAAAGCTCATATCTTTTCCAATTTTTCACTCTTGTGTCAAAACTAAATTTTCTTCTCATTTAAACAGTCAGTGCCCCCAAAATCCTTTGTCCCTTTGGCATTGCGTAATAATATAAGTCAAAATGTTTAGTTGTTTTGTCACTATCGCAGAGGACCATTGAAATATCCCTCATGTCCACCTTTCAGTCTTAGCCCAGTTTTTGAAAATGGCTACTCTACTGTTTTTTTTTTTTTGTCTTTTGACAGAATGCAATTGTGTATAAAAATAAATAAATAAATAAATATATATATTTTTAATTTCTAATAAGGATTTTATTTAAAAGTAGCCTCCAAGGTTTGACATCACACATTGCACTCATACTGCCAAGGAAATTATAACCATTTTCAATTACACACAAAGTAATTTACATACATCAGAATAAAACAAAATATACTGTAATATAAACACACAAACAAAAACTATGAACATTATATGCAGCCTAGAGTGCTTGATTGGTCATCTGAGATGTGTGAAATTCCTCCTTTGTTAGTCAAGTTCTAGTTTCACCTGACTGTCAGTTGCTGTAATAAATGTATCAAATGTTCCACGGAACCATATATGGTATTCATGGTAATATGGTCTTGACTAATTTTGACAATTGAACAGACTGTTGTGCATGTGATGACATATACAATGAAATGACGCTGACAAATTTTGGAACAAACAACCATTGAACTGAGAATCAACAATCAGTTTAGATCAACTAGATCTATTTGCTTGCATATTGTGCTATATGTTGGCTACCTGTACTACATCATTGGCAGAGATGTACTTAGACATTTGGAATTTGATGAAATAAAAGAGAAAATCAAGTCTGTTGTGAACAATTGCCAAGTGGTTTGGAGGTTTGTCCATGTTGTTTTGAGAATGTAATTCTTGTTTCAAGAAATGAGCCAAACCAATAGAGAAAAACGGTGATACTCTACTTCCAAATTTCAAATAAAATACTGTCATTTTTTGGGGTGAATGACAATATTATAACAAGAATAACAGAAAAACAAATGTGATTATTTTACAAAATACTAATCCCTGAATTCTTCTACAGTGGAAACACTGCAATTGTGTTGTCTGAAAGCAAATATAAACCTCTGAAAACCTTTACGTTAATTTATTCATTCTTTTTCCCACAGTGGAATGAACCGCCAACTATTCCAGCATATGTTTTCTGCAGCGGGTGCCCTTCCAGCCACAACCCAGTACTGAAAAACACCCATACACTCTCATTAACACACACACTCATACACTATCGTCAATTTAGTTTACCTAATTCATCTATAACATATGTCTTAGGACTGTGGGGGAAACCGGAGCACCCGGAGGAAACCCACGCCAACACGAGGAGAACATGCAAACTTCCTTATACACAAAAAAATGCCAACAGACCCAGCCGGGACTCAAACCAGCGACCTTCCAGCTGTGAAGCAATTGTGCTAACCACTGAGCCTCCGTGCCGCTCCAACATTTACGTTATTACACGCAAAAAAACTCACAACATCTATATTCAAACACAAATCATGAATCCAGTTACATTTTTCCATAACTGCAAAACACAGAGCACCATGTAACTGTTAGAGTTGACGTAATTTGTTGGCGTGATGAGTTTTCAGCCACATATATTAGTATTTTAAATTGATAGCACATTCATAAAAAGTGTGTTTATACCGTGAAATCCTCTCTCAACGCATATCAGCATGTTTACGTGTAATTTATGTCTGCTAAAATACAATACCACTGGGAAAATGTTCTCACTTCTGTCTGGGAATCGTAGCTTCTTTGGCAGTTTCTTTGCTGCTGGCAGTCAGCAGTTTTGACAGAAGGGAATTTCCTACAAGCAAGTGGTGTGGTGGCTGAATGAAACCCAAGCTGGAAGGGAGGATTTGAGGGAAGCAATCAGTCACTGTTAGCGCATGGGAAACGCCGGCGGTGCAGATAAGAGCACCGGAATGCTGCTTTCTCACCTGTGAGACCTGACACTATTATTGCACTTTTTTGGGTTTTTTTCCATTTAATTGGTAGTGTGGGGACAACAAGCGTATTCTGCTGAGATTTTATACGCACTTCCATTAATCTTAGTGAAAACATTAAAGAAATCCAAGTTAAAGTGTTAGCATCAATATGATGATCGTATAATCTAGCTCAGTGGTTCTCAAACTTTTTTTCATCAAGTACCACCTCAGAAAAAAATAGTCTCTCCAAGTACCACCATAATGAGCAGTATTGAAATACGTAGCGTAGTAGACTAAATTAAGCAACTACAGCTCTGCACATTTTAAAAACGTATCAGATTAATTACTATTATTAAGAATATTTATTATTGTCAGCCACTTTAAACATTATAAATAGTCTGAACGTTAAGACTGTACTGTGCTTATATGTAAAAAAAGCAAAAATAAAAATAAAAACGTCAACATTTAAATTAAAATGTGCTTTTAAAAGTTAAAAATGGTAGGTTACTGTTCTTAAAAATTAAATAATTAACTTTAATTAACTTAATTAACATAGAGTATATATGGGCTATACATTGTCATATTCATATACAAATCATTTTGATACATTTTTAAATATATGTAGCATGTACATATGACATATTTGATTCCTCCGCGTACCACTAGAAGGAAGCTTGCGTACCACTAGTGGTACACGTACCACAGTTTGAGAACCACTGATCTAGCTTTTCCAAATCTGGATCAAAACAGTAACAAAATTCACAGTTTAGGAGTTCACTTAGATAATGCTTGACACTATTAGCAGGTTTGGTATGCTGTCCCGGGAGAGATCCCTGAGATAATTTAGCCCAGGGCCACCACCTGGTCATGTAAGGTTGTCCAAGATCAGGTAGGCCTTGAAAGCTCCCACTGGTAAAAGGAGGAGATGGGGTGGAAGGGGGGTTCTTCCAAAACCAAGATAAGACAGTAGGGTGAAATCTGTCTATTTATTGTAGGCTTGGATCAATCTGACTGATTGCGGATGAGAGACCAGCCATGATCAATCATAGAAGTCTACTTGGAACATCATTGTTTCTCATTTTCGTCTATATGGATCAACGATTTATGATATCACAAGCTAGGGCTTGGCGATCTGACAAAAATATCACATTACGATACAAGTAATCTCATGTCCTAATAATGATACACATCCCGATATAGTACCATTTCTGTACATTTAATTAACATTTATTATAATAATATTACAATTTATTTTTTATTTTATTAGTTTATATACAGTTTATTGACCACACGTAAAGGACTAGGCATGGGATGATAATTGTTTTCAAGGTTTACCGCGGTTTGGAAAAGTTAATGTTTTAAAACCGCCAAAGTTTTCTGCTATACCGTTCCTAAGGTGTGTGTAAGATTTTTTTTATACATTTTAAAATGTAAAGAAATCTGAGTTTTTGAAAGTAATGAAGACAGCAGAAGTCAATGATTTATTTGAATTATATAGACTGACACGTTTACAGCTCCAAAATAATTTAAGTCTTTAAAAAAAAAAAAAAAAAAAAAAAAAAAAAAAAAATATATATATATATATATATATATATATATATATATATATTGTTTTTAAAGAAAATTTGTATTTTAGTTTTTTACCCAGACATTAAAAAAAAATAATATATTTTATAGCAGTAACCGCAATACCGTTAAACTGTGAATAAATATAAATAATAAATAATATAAATAAGAAATATTTTCATCCAAAGTTATCATACCGTCAGAATCTTATACCGGCCCATGCCTATAAAGGACTATAAAATATCGATAAATATGCAAAATATCATTATGCACAAAATGCTAAATGTAATCATTGTACTTTCAAGATTGCAACTTTCTCACAATTCTGTTATTCATGTTTTTGCCTGCATTCCTGTAATGGCATGTAATATTCTGCTTATATAAATTTTGTAAAAGTATTTCCATAAGCAATGTATTTTGTGACAAAATAAGCGATCTATGAAATGACAGACTTTTTATTTTGTCTATATTATATAAATTCATTTTGCACAACTCAACACTGAACACTTCAGAGCTGTGTTCAGCCCCAACAAAACACTAAGAAAGATTTTTTAAAAGGAAACAGTGGTGTGTTGAACACCCTGTACTAATGACTAAAGAGCTGCAACTATGGCAGCTGAGAGGGTCATTTTTTGTGCTCTTTTAAAAGAATGTTTGGAGCTTGATTAAATTAGTAAAAATCAAATTTTAATAATGCAAAAACTACGCTCAATGTTACAGCCACTGCCTTTATACGGGTCAGTTTTTGGGGCTTTTTCATCACATTCCAAACTTTGTACCCGGTACTGTTTTTAATATTGCCTCAGGTGAGGTTCCAAGAGAGCCTTACTGTTAGCAAATTGTAACGTATACACACCGCTGATCATCT